AGATAGTCTTCAAATCTCTCAAATGGTTAGTGACTCGATCCGCTCTACTTAGGGTGGTCGTTTCAATATTTAATCAGAGAGTAGGGGGGACCTTCGGGTTATGGTAAGTTTGGTAGCAGGAGGCTGTTGAGTATTGAAAAATTTGTAATGTCGTTGTTTCTTGAATTCAAATATAATCAGTTAGTTTCATTTCAAAAAACCAAAAGAGGTTATCAAATGCCTTCTTAGTTTTCATATTGTGTCATAGAAAACTACATTCCACTAAAACCGGGACAGAAAGAAATGAGACGACTATTAAAAAAATGAGTTTAAGCGATCAATATTGAATTGAAAAAGTAAAAATCAAGTAAAAATGATTTAGAAACAAACACAAATTTTATCAATTTAGTATCTGACAATCTTAATGAGACAGATCGAAAAAGAAGTATGAGACAATTGTAGCGGGGAAAGAGTAAAAAAATTGTAATTTGGAGTGAAATACGAGTAAAGTTCTGAAATAAGACTCATTAGAATATTGTAAATTTGTAAGTCAGTAGAAGAATAATTTGCTGAATTAATAATATTGATCAATTTTCTTTCAAAAATGACTCGTTAGAGTATATTTTATTCAAAATATGATTAGCTTATTCCTTTAGATCGTATTCCCTCCGTCCACCTGTTTTATTTTTCGTTTTGGATTATTTCAAAATAAGTGTTACATTTTCCTTTTTGGAAAAAAATATGTGATTCAAAATATTACATTCAAATCTCAATCACAAATTTTACATTTTCAACCATTTTATTAAAATTTGTGTCAAAATCAAATGAGACACATAAATAGGGACACGATAGAATTAAGAGCTTTTTACAACAATATTGCTAAAATAAAACATATTTGCATATATATGACTATTCATTACTACAATGTGATGTTGTGGTAACTTAAGCTCAAAACATGAACATAAATTAATATGATATCATGACTACTCTAGTCATTAATCATATTTTTATAAATCATATTTATTTTGGTTATATTCGTATAATTATTTCTAGAATTAAATATTCCGTATATCGACTTGAATGAGTCATGTTGTGGGATGGGATTGGGGGAGATGTGTGGTTGGTGGTAGCATAAGGAAGGGAATAAAGTAGGTCAGTCAATGGTGCTGGTCAAAAAAGGGACAATTCGCTTTATAGGGAAAACCAAAAGGAACCCACCCTTCTGCGCCTAATCAATCTGAAATCCAATCACATCTCCCCCACCCAATTCTCCTTCTTTCCTTTCTCTCGTGTATTAGTGTACTGTAATTATTATGGTCTCCTGCAAACATTATTTTCCCCACAACATTCTCCTGCAACTCCAGGCCTAGTCCTGTCCGTAAAATGAAAATGTAAAACGGCGAATAGGAAAATAATGCACCAAACCTCATGTGATTTGGAAATTCGGCGCATTAACCCTCTGTGATTTAAAAAATGCGTCAAACCCCTCTGTGTTTTAATTAATCATGCACAGAACCTCCTTTATGAATAAATTTAACGATTTGAAAATCACTTTTCCTAATATTTTGATTGAATATGCAAATAAGTATGTCAAAATCTCTGAATCATACAAAAATGTTAATTATTTTTCTTTTATTTGACAATTGAATTTGTTCACATAAGGGATTTGGCGCATGATTAATTAAAACATAGGGGGTTTGACGCATTTTTAAATCACAGAGGGCTAATGCGCCAAATTTCCAAATCACAGGGGGGTTTGGTGCATTAACCCCAGGAAAACATAACACGAGCAAGGTTCTAAAAGGCGTAAGGCGTGCCGAGACGGCACATCCGTCCAAGTCTTAAGCCTTTGGAGCCTAGGTGGGTTTAGGCGCAGTTGAAGCGTGAAAAGGCTTTTTGATTTTTTATCCTTTATTTTAGTTTTTCTAGAGCTATTTTAAATAGTTAGAATTAATATTCCTAAATCTAACTGATGGACAGTCTACCCGGGGGGTATCTTATCCGAGGGGTTATTGCGGGAATAACTAGAGAGAAGTCAGAGTAAATAGGAGGAGAGAGAGTCGATTTTATTAAATGAACTCAGCGCGTATAGTTGAGATGTAGATCCTTTTACAAGGAGAAATGGGCTGCTATTTATAGCAGCAATAAATGCGATGAGAGGACACGTGTCAGTAATCCAACGGCCGAGGGGTCACATCAACCGGTTGGCACCGGCAGTGGTACGTTTACCGCATTGAATGCGGTTGGCGGATGTGACGTGGCATTAAATGCGGTGGTTGGCTGTCTCTAAAAGGAATCTTCGATGATTGAGCTAGTTCAGCCGAAGGTTCCTGGTGTAGCCGAGGGCTCCTTGTGTAGCCGAGGGCTCCACGCGGTGAGGACCCCTGTGTGGCCGAAGGCCCTGTGTGGCCGAAGGCTTGGTTCAGCCGAAGGCTTCTCTGATGCCGAGGGCTTGAAATGCCGAAGGTTCACGTTTTTCACCGTTTTCTCCCAGTAGCTTCCTATGTCAGAGAAGGCCATCCTGTGAGTTCTGGAGCCTTCGGCCAAGGAGGCCGAAGGCACCTCAGTATGTATTTCGGGCTATTTTGGGGCTTGGGCTGTTGCTTTTGGGCCTGAGTTGTTCTCTGGGCTCATTGGATATGTGTGGCAGAAGTAGGAGTCTATGGGCCGGGGGTTCTTGGGCCATATACTCCATCAGGAGTCCCTCACTCCTTTTGCCGAAAGGTACTTGAGGGAAAAGGAGTAGTTGTGTTGATTCTCCCGGAGGCTGCATCATTTCGCTGGGTGCCTTTGCTGGAGAACTTGTCTTCTGCTGATTGCCGAAGGCTTCCCTCAGTCCCTCACATGTCGAGGGTTTTCTGAGGGAAGGTATTCATAACCTTCGCATGTTCGCCTGGGGCTCCCCTCAGTCCCTCACATGTCGGGGGTTTTCTGAGGGAGGCGTAAATAATATCTGTATGTGTTGTGATGAAGGCTGTTTCACTATCGTCAGTGACTTTGTGGAACATTTTTGACTTTAGGCCTCTATTGAAGGGTGCGATGATGCACGTACCCGGGGGCTACATGCGTTATTCGTGGGAATTCTTGTTTTTAGTCACGTGTGATTACCGAGGGGTGTATCCCAGTCCCCCACTTCTTTAGGCCGAAGGCGAGTTCGGGCTGAAGGAGTTATAATGTGTTGTTGGGTTCCCCGAGGGGTTAGCCGAAAGCATATACCAGTATCTGCTCGAAGCCTCTCGCAGGTGGTGGCCGGGGGCTACCATCCAATATATGCGTCGAGGAGTGGCAACATTGACAAGCGAAGGCTGTCATTGCTGCTAGCTCGAAGGCGCTATGTTGGAATTCCTTGGCTGAAGGCTGTGGTGAGTGATAGCCGGAGGCCATCATTCGAGGGCGCTCCGGTGTCTGTGAAATACAGCCGTTACAATATAGCCGTTGGAAGAGGGGTTGACGTGGCGTGTCCTCACTGCTGGAGGGAGCGGCCCGTCATCCATTGGTCGAACCGGCGGCCTGTAATGATGGGCTTTCGAGTTGAGGCCCAGTTCTCGAGGCCCATCTGCCTATAAATACCCCAAGGCAGAGCTCAGTCCTCCTTATGCGTTCATAAACTCTAGCGAAGCTCTGCCGAATTTTCTAGAGAGAGAAACCTTTGCCTTCGATCAAACACAACTCTTGAGGTCAGTTCTTCTTCCGTTCTTGAGTTCCTTAGTAGGTTTTGTTCTTCCTTCCTTGATTAAGTGTTGAAACCAATTTAGAGCCCTCGGTTAGGATCTCTTCCCTGCCTATCTTCATGTCTTCCGCGAGTGATTCCCAAGATATCTCGAGGGACCCCTCGGTTCAAGCCGAAAGCATTTCCGATGTGGTGTCTTCGAGCGAACAGCCCTCGACAACTAACGATCTGGCCGTAGCTGAGGAAGTGCAGAGCCGCCTCCTGGTGGAGATGGAAGCTGAAGATTTCGAGCAAGTAATCGAAGACGAGGAGATGGCCATTGCGGTCCAAGTTGCCCAGGAGGCGGAGGAGAGTGAAAGGCAGAGGGTTACCGTGGCTATGCTTCCCCCTCGCAGAACTGGTGAGGCGAGTAGCTCCCGGCCCTTGGATCCGGAGCCTCTTAGCGTTGCCCCTGCCAAGAAGAAGAAGAAACTGAGGGCCGCTCCGAAGAAGAAGCAAGCGGCCGTGGACGCCGGGCAGCCGGTCGGGATCCCTGAGGGGCATTCATATTTGGATACTACGGCCCTTGAGGTGAAGACCACAGCGTCGGGTGCCGAATGCTTAGCCCTCCAAGTCCTCGTGGGGCCGTCGGCACAAGTAGTAGAACCGGGGCCTGACGATCTGCTATCCCATCCCCCCGAAGGGTGCTTTTCGGCGCATATGCTGTCGGTGGAGTTGGGCCTTAGATTCCCACTCCACCCCTTCGTCGTTGAATATCTGAGGTTTGTTAAATTGGCTCCCTGCCAACTTACACCGAACAGCCATTACTACCTGGCGGGATTCCTGGCCCTCTGCCGAAGCCGTGGGGTGGCTGCCACGCTAGACCAGTTCTTCGTTTCCTTCAATCTTTGTCGGGGAGGGCACTCGCACGCTGGGGGGTATGCCAACTTGCAGCAGGTTCCGGCATGGAAACTCTTCTCTGAGACCCCCTCCTCCCATAAAGAATGGAAGGAGAAATTCTGTTATATTCGGATGGCCGAAAATCCCTTCCCGGGGGCCTTGCGTAACCACTTCAAGAGGCATCCGAAGGTGGGTAATGCAGCTCTCGATAAGGCGGAGAGGAAGCTCACTAAGAAGCCCGAAGGATCCAACCAAGTGATTACGATTAAGGAGGCGGCATCACCTGAGGAGCTGTACCTGCTGGGTTTCCGGCGATATCGCCTTCCGGGGGACGAAGACGAAAAATATCCTTTGATCGACCGGGGATATCAAAACGCCGGAGGTTGTAGCCGGGGGCTATCTGTTACTGGTACTTAGGATTATTTTTCGTACTTTACTTGTATTGATCCTAACCCCTTTTGAATCGCTGCAGGTGACATTATGGATGTTCAGGCCTTCGCCCGTCTGTCAAAAAAGCTGGCCAAGGTGCCAAAGAAGAAGAAGGAGGAGGGGTCCTCGGCGAGCCAACCCCTCGTCGATGAAGTTTTCAAGAAGGCCGGGGCCTCCCAGGTTCCGGAAGCTAAGGAGCCTCCCAAGGAGATTGCTCCCGCTGATACCGGTGCTGGTGCCGGGGGCTCCCAAGCCGGGGAGCTTAAGAGGAAGAATGCCGGGAAGGGCTCCAAGCCTCCGGTGACCAAGAAGTTGAGGGGGGCTGATGAAGGTAAGGGTGCCCCCCTGGTGATCCTTGAAGAGCCCTCCCCCTCTCACCTGGTGGATCTTGAGGAGGGGGCTTGGCCGCAGGAGACGGTGCAGTTCTCTTTTAAGAAGGGGACTGCCATCGTCCATGGCACCCTCGATCCGAGGGAATACTTGGAGGGTGCTACTCCTCCATTAGATCGCTCGACCCTCGGCAAATTTGAGGACGAAGCCCTCGAGCGGAGAGCACTTGAGGCCTCGGTCACGGTAAGTTCCTTCCCCTCGCTAAACACATGCTTTGCTTTCACATATTTCTTGCTTGCAGGCTCTGATTTTCAGTATCCCTCCTTTGCTTGCAGGCTAGCCTGGCCTTCGGAGAATATGTCCGGAGGATGGAACAGCTTCGCCTCCGGAAGGCGGAAGATGATGAGGCCCTCAAGAGGCTTGTCGCCAAGAACACTGAGGCCATCAGGAAGATGGCTGAGCTAGAGGAGGCCCTGAGGCTGGCGGGCGACAAGCTGGAGGCCGCGAGGGTGGAGGCTCGCTCCGAGGGGAAGGCTGAGGCAGAGAAGGCAGCTGAGGAGGCCTCAAAGAAAGCTGCTGATGAAGCCGAGAAGGCTAAGACCGAGGCCGTGGCCAAAGCGAAGGAGGATGCTGTTGCTGCTTTCCTTGCCGAGGGATGGAAATCCGATGAGCACCAGGGATGGGTGGCCTCGGTCATTGAGCAAGGCGTCGGCGCTTGGGTGAAGGGCCCCGGGTCCGAGTGGATGGCCCTGAGAGGCAAAGACTATTTCGAAGGAGGTGAGTTCTTCACCCAGCGCCTGATATATCGGAAGTTGGCCGAGCATTTCAAGATTTCCAAGGATGACTTCGACCCTTCGGCCTATGGTCTTCCTCCCCGGCAGCCTGATGTAAGGGTCCCCCTCCCGGAGGGCGAGGAAAGGGTTCAGCTTGCAGACTCCGAGTTGATGAGGGAGTACGGCCTCCAGGACGAAGAAGATACGGAGGATGACGCAGCCTCGAAGCCGAGGAACGAGGCAGCCGCAGAACCACAACCTTGAATTTTTCTAAGTACATTTGAATGTAATAGTGGTAGACTCTGGCTTCGGCCTTGTATGTGAACAAACACTTATTTTGTACCCTGAATGAATGATCGCCTTCGGGCTCCTTGTATAAATGACTGCCTCATTTCTCTTCAAATGTTGTTTGCCTTCGTCCTTTTCCTTTATGAATGTTTCCTTCACTTGGATAAATATATTTTTTTTTTGTCTGGTTTCCCGGAGGCCACAAGTTTGTGGACTTAGAAATTTTTTTTAAGTGCGACTCCTTGCCAGCCCCCGGTCGTAGTGGAGTATCGCCGAGGGGTCGCTGTTGTGGACTTAGAAATATTTCTAAGTGCAAGCCCAATCATGAGCCCTCAGTTGTGTGCTGGGATTCGTCGGGGACCTGCGGATGTGGACTTAGAAATTTTTCTAAGAAAAACCTCTGTTGAGATCCTCGAATGTAGTGCAAAACTTCAGAAAATAATCTAAGTAAAATCTCCTTGGGGGCCTTCGGCAAAGCATCCTTATAATACCTCCGAGCTGAAGCGATGAGACCGAGGGCCAAGATGAATTAGATGTAGGAAATTTTCCAAGTAAAATTGTATCATGTGCCCCCGGAAATGCTGGGCCCTCGATTAGCATCGTAGTCCACGGCCGCGAGCCGAGGGGTCCGCAGTTGTGGACTTTGTCAAATTTCCACACAATTCCCATGGTTGTTGTACTGAACCCTTCGGAATGAGGCTCTTCTAAGCCCCCAGTGTGTGAGTCCACCGAGGGGGTCCAAGTTTATGGACTTGGTGAAATTTCGAGATAATCCTCATAGATCTCGTGCGTATCCCTCCGGCTCATGGTTTGTGTAGTTTTGATTTGCTTTAGGACTTCTAGTGAGCCTTCATCTTGGGTCCCCGGGGGAATCCTTGCACTTCAAGGCCTTATGTAGTGGATCCTTCGGTTATGTAGCCAGATGACTTGTTGTTGAGAGATTTTCTTGTGCCTTTGTAGGAGCCTTCAGGAACATATATCCGAAGTGTTGAGCCTCCGGGGAGAATAGTATCCGGGGAGTTCCTTCCCCCCTACACATCTTTTTTTTTTTTTCTCTTTTTTTTTTTTGAGATGGTGTAGGAGAGGCATCTAGAAACTTGGTTTCTAGGAAAGGCTTGGCCTATATGGGAGGCAACGGAACAAACCGTTGGCTCTCCCTTCGGGAATGACCTTCCGATATCCCGAAGGGTTTGAGGGTCGTTTCCTCGGCCCGAGACATCGTCTGTTGCCTGCTTCCCCTTGGGAGATAGCACGGAAAGCGCCTCGGTTTTGAAAGTCGTCCCCTCAGCCCGAGACATGGTCTGTTGCCTGCTTCCCCTTGGGGGATAGCGCGGGGTGCGTTTCGTTTGTGGAAGTCGAATCCTGGGCCCGGGACATGGTCCGTTGCCTGCCTCCCCTTGGGGGATGGCGCGGAAAGCGTTCCTGGGAAGGGTTTTATTTGTGTGTGGGACACAAATAGCCGGGGGCACTTGGTACCATCCGGAGCCGAGGGGTGTTGCACCCCCCGGTCTTTTTTTTTTTTTAGGAGGATAGAATATGTATAGGTATGCATAATGTATGCATGATTGCGTCCTCGTGGGGTACGGCTTAGTGAGAAAACACTTGGTGTTTTCAAAAAGTGATGGGGGTGACCCATACGTTTGGTACTTGGTACCTAAATTGTTGTTCCCCCTCATCAGAGGGAGAGGCCTTGGGCCTATTTTGGTGGAGAGATGAGGGCTTGGCCACTCATGTGTAGGAGAGAAGGGGGCCTTGGGCCGTTTGTACAATATGCAGGTGATGAAGGCTTGGCCTCGTGATTATTCTTCAAAAACAGATGGGGCCTTGGGCCATTGATATTTACACTTGCTGAGGATGAGGGCTTGGCCGCCCATGCCTTATTGATAGAATTTGACAAGGTGGTGCACATTCCAATGTCTAGGGACCTCCGTCCCATTGGGACGTTTAAGCTTGTATGTCCCTGGTTTGATGATGGCTGAGATGATGTAGGGGCCTTCAAACTTGGGCGCCATCTTTCCTCCTTCGGTGGGTAAACTGGCCTCCCTTCGTCGGAGGACGTAGTCTCCCACCTGGAATTCCCGGGAGCGGACCTTGGCGTCGACGTATCCTTTGATTTGTCTCCTATAGTTTTCGGCCCTGAGGAAAGCTTGCTCTCGGCGTTCCGAGATGAGATGAAGGTCGAGGGCCATGTTGGCGTCGTTGACTTCGGGCTCATATTGTTCCACCCTGCGGGTGGGAAGGGTCACTTCTGTTGGAGCCTTTGCCTTAAAGCCATAGCATAGGGAGAAGGGTGTCTCACCTGTTGCACGCCGAGGGGTGGTGCGGTAGGCCCATAGGATGTTATGAAGCTCTTCTACCCAGCCTCCTCCTTCGGCTTCCAGCTTTTTCTTCAACCCCTCGAGGAGGGTGCGGTTGGCATTTTCTACTTGCCCGTTGCCCTGAGGGTAGGCAACGGATGAAAAAGTGTGCTTGATGCCCCATGCCTCCAGGAGGGCACAGAAGGGGGCTGCCTCGAATTGAGTCCCGTTGTCGGAGATGATTTGTTGGGGGACGCCAAACCTTGTGAGGATATTTTTGAGAACAAAGTGGCGGCACCGGGCCTCAGTGATGCTGGCGAGGGGTTCGGCCTCCACCCATTTGGTGAAGTAGTCAATGGCAACGATGATGTACCTATTGTTGGAGGTACCCCTCGGCAGAGGGCCTACTAGATCAATTCCCCATCTAGAGAAGGGTATAGCGGTGCTGATGGGGGCGTAGTTGACAGCTGGTCTGCCGGGGGCCTTCTGAAAGTGTTGGCAAGCGGTGCACCTTCGGCTAGATCAGCACAATCTCTAGCCATTGTGGGCCAGAAGTAGCCCTGAACTATGAGCCTTCGGGACATGGAGAAGGGTCCCTGGTGAGCTGAGCAAGTGCCACTGTGCACCTCCTCCATGGCGACTTCGGCCTCATCTTGATGAAGGCACCGGAGAAGGGTGCCGTTGTAAGATCTCTTGTAAAGCCTCCCGTTTTCGATGGCGTAGCTGGGAGCCCTCAGCTTTGCTAACTTGGCGCGGGCTTCGTCTTGGGGTAATTGCCCTGTGGTGATGAAGGCGATGATGTCAGAGATCCAGTCCTCCGGCCTCAGGTTAACGTTCATAACGGGGCTCGCGTGGATGCTTGAGAGGCTGAATTCCTCAATTCTTGCAATTTTTGAGAGGTGCTCGGGGGATTCATCCGAGAGCTTGGACAGAATATCGGCCTCGGAGTTTTGAGCCCTCGGTATTTGGGTAAGAGAATGTGCCTCAAATACCTTGAGCAATTCCTTAGCCGCTTCTTTGTATTGTTTCATCCTCCCTTCCTTGGCTTCGTACTCCCCGGAAATTTGACCCACGACGAGTTTGGAGTCACACTTGACGTGGATCATCTTGGCCTTCAGATTTGCTGCCAGCCGAAGGCCACAGAGGAGGGCTTCGTATTCGGCCTCGTTGTTGGAGACTTTGAAGGAGAAGCGGATGGCATAATAGGCGCGGAAGCCCTCGGGTGTGATGAGAACTACTCCCCCTCCGCATGCTTTGGTAGCCGAGGAGCCGTCGGTATAGAGGGTCCACCACTCATCAAGGGGTGCCGAAGGCTCCTCACCCACTGCTGATCTCGCGGTGCATTCCGTTACGAAGTCTGCCAGGGCTTGGCCCTTGATGGCAGGCCTCGGGCGGATATCTATGTTGTATTGGCTGAGGAAGATGGCCCATTTCACCATCCGAGAGGAGCTAGTGGGACTCCTCATGAGGGCGCCGAGGGGTTGATGAGTGAGCACCTGGACTGGATGAGCTTGAAAGTAGTGGCCAAGCTTCTTGACGGTCCAAACGATGGCTAGCACCGTCTTCTCGACGGGAGAAAACCTGAGTTCGGCCTCCCGGAGGGTTTTGCTGACGTAGAAGATGGCATGTTGGATGCCGTCTTCCTCTCGGATCAGCACTGAGCTGATAGCCGCGGGGCTAACACCGAGATATAAGTATAAAGTCTCCCCCACCTTTGGTTTGGAGAGCACTGGGGGAGAAGAGAGGTACTTCTTGAGTTCGTCGAATGCCTCTTGACACTCAGATGTCCATTGAAAGCCCGCCGTCTTCCTCATGATTTGGAAGAAGGGGAGGGCCCTCTCGGCTGACTTAGAGAGGAATCGGTTGAGGGCCGCCAGGCGACCCGTCAGCCGTTGAACTTCTTTGACGTTGCGTGGAGGCTCCATGTTGATGATGGCCTGAATCTTCTCGGGGTTGGCCTCAATACCCCTTCGGCTGACCATGTAGCCCAAGAACTTTCCTCCCTGCACGCCGAAGGTGCACTTCTTTGGATTCAGTCGGAGGTTGAATTTTTGCATGATGGCGAAGATTTCCTGGAGGTCCTCGGCGTGAGTGCCGGCCTTCTTGCTTTTGACAATCATATCGTCAACATAGGCCTCCATAGTGCGCCCCAAGACGGCTTGAAAGACTCTGGCCACCATTCGGGTGTAGGTGGCGCCTGAATTCTTGAGGCCGAAGGCCATCACAAGATAACAGAAGATGCCTTCGGGTGTCATGAAGGCAGTTTTTTCAGCGTCTTCCTCATGCATGTAGATTTGATGATACCCGCGGAATGCGTCGAGGAATGACATAATCTCGCATCCCGCGGTCTCATCCACAAGTTGATCAATGTTCGGCAGAGGGAAGGGGTCCATAGGGCACGCCTTATTCAGATCTGTGTAGTCCACGCACATGCGGAAGGTAGGAGGTTTTTGTGCGAGGACTACATTAGCCAACCAAGAAGGGTACTTCACCTCCTTAATGTGTTTGATGGAGAGGAGCATAGACACCTCTTTCTTTACGAACTCCCTTCTCTCGGCTGAGAGGGGTCTTCTCCGTTGCTGTACCGGTTTGGCCGAAGGGTCCACCGCCAGGCGGTGGGTGATAACCCTTCGGTCAATTCCTGGCATATCCTCCGGCCCCCATGCAAAAACGATGGAGTAGGCGCGGAGGGTCTTGGTGATGTCAGCCTTCAGGTCTTCGGGGAGCTTGGCTCCAATCTTCAGGACTCTCTCCGGCTTGGCCGGATCGAGTATCAAGTCTTCGGTGTCCTCGGCAAGCTCAGCCCTCGGCCTACTTT